CTCATTTGTCGGATTACGTTGGTTTGTTCTCCACCTTGGTGTCTAGACTCGGTCCATTATATGCCAGCCAGGGACCCAAGAGTCTCGAAACGGCCTTCCAAAACATCATGTCATGGTAATTTCTCATTCCACTAGAATGTCCCAACCAATCACTCCACTCAACAAAGCAACAACAGAACACTGAGAAATCAGGGACATGATCAATTTTACAGGCCAGATCCGACACCCGGGGCCGAGCTAGAACTAACGTTCCTAGGCCAAGACCACAAGTTCATAATCCCATTACCCAACCAAGCCCAAATCCCAGACCCGAAGACGAATTTCCCGCTACTTAAAGCGGCCTCGGGCTCCTTAACAGGACCGCAGAGTTTGCAATACATGAACCCGTTAGACTACCATGTCTTAGCCTCGAACCCGACGACCTATCTGAGCTACATCTTGTTCGGCTCGAATCCCAACACCTCTTCCTCCTCCTCGTCCCCTGCTTCTTCGGCCCTCAATTCTTCGGCTGTCTCCACCCTCTCCGTCTCCGACCTTTGGCTGCTCTGGGAAATCCTTATTCTCGGCGAACCGCTCGTCGTCTTTGGCGCTACTCCTGATATTGTCTCTGATACCATCCTGCATCTTAAAAACCTCATCAGACCCGTTTGTTTTCTCTCTTTTTTTGTTCTCCTCATCTTCATCTAGAATGATAATATAAAACTGAGCAACGTTCTTTAAATCTTTTCTAGATTCCTTTTCATGCCAATTGGAGACCTTACATTACCATTCATGATCCGGACTTTGGCCTATTATTCGGGAAGAACAAGGTAGCGTTATTATGCAACAGTTCTTGATTCTCAAAATTTTACAGGACCAGACCTAACCATAACAACCCGATGATTATGCATATTTTCTCTTGTCGAACCTGTGTGGGTGATGCGGAATTTTCTTAGTCACGAGCGGTTGGTTTGATTGGGGCGACCAATCCGATCATCCTCACGGCGACCCACGCGTGGCCTAACGTCCTCAGTCTCAGCAAACAGGGCGCGAGTCTCAACCACCACATCGGCCTTCTCACCGACCGCAAACGGGTCCTTCACAAAAATAAATCGGTCGTCAAACAGCTACTACTTTGTCTCGAACGTAAAGATTGTTCGTGCTTCTCCTTTCTTTCCATATTTAAGCCTTCGATTTTATCTCTCATTGATCCGTCCTTTTTTAGACCATCATGCCGATATCGTTATCTCGAGACATTTCTCCGTGCTTACTGAGCAGTTCCTACAGCCCCTTCAACGATACTTCACGACGCTACTACCGACAGCAGAGTGAGTGATTTATTTTCATTTTAATTAAGTAAGAAACAACAGATGAATCGTTGGCTAACAAAGAGGTTAAATGGGTGAATGATAGAGGGACAGGGACGGAGCCACGCCGGACGGGAACGTTCAACTCTGAGCTATTTCTGAAGTCATTGAAGGAGCACACGACGGCCTTAGAGTTCCGGTCGCGGCTGATGACCGGGTTCACGGCCTCGTCGGTCTCCGCGCCAGGCTTCTACACCGCCTTCCTCCGTTCGCCCAACTTCTCCGCCTGGCTCCATCGTCAACTGGTGCTGGGAAATCGGGCCGTCCGCGACCGCTTCTTCTCGAACTCTAATCAGCTCAACAAACAGCCTAAATCTCGCCCCGTCTCCTTCTCGCACTCCGAGGAACTTAACGATATCGATATCCCTTCCGTTAACTCGTTGCCCCCCTTTGTCTCGAATGATCCCTTTCAACAAGTCATCAAGAAACTTCATAACCAAGTCCGTCTTCCTTTCTGCTCTTTTCTCTCCTCCCTTTCCCATCTTAAGAAAGAAAAAACAATTTTTAAACATCCTCCCCTATTATTATTTATCCTCTTCTCGGACAGCTGTCCAAAAAGCCCGTCCCCACTGGCCTTCCGCCAATCCCACCAACAGGCCAACCCATTGAAGGACCCACAGAGCGGAGTAAGAAAGAGTACCCGAAGGTCGGTGAGGGAAGTCCGAGTGGAGGCAGTCAAGCGCACAGTCATAGCTATAACAACAACCAACGCAGTCCTAGTGAAGGAGGTGTTCTTTTGAGCTCCAAAAAGAATACGCCAGGCTTAGGTTTGCAAGGGTTGAAGAAGAGTCGGACGATCGGTGGAGGAGCCAGAGCCGGAGGGGAAGGAGGAGGTGGTGATGGTGGAGGTGAACGGAAGATGCGACGAAGCAGTAGCACGATGAGTAATGCCAGCAGTAGTAACACCACCACCTCCTCCTTAACCAGTCGGCGAAAGCCCGGAGGATTGGACGGCCAACCGGCCGACGACGGGCTTTCTGGACACACCAATTCCCGGCGCAGTCGCCGTCGTCGGCCTGATAGTCTCCATTCTTCAGCCAGTCCTACTACCGGTGGAAGCAGTAGTCCTACCTCTCTTTCAAGACCTGAGCTGGCCGATTCTGCGGCCGTCCATCATCTTTCATATCCCAATCCGGCCCCTTTCGATCACTCCCATCCATCCGACAACCGCCCCCTTCGCTCGTCTTCTCATCCGTATCCCAATCTCCCTGATCATCATCCTCATCCTGTTGCGGTCAATGACTCTCTTATCTCCTTATCTCATCCTCAATAATTCTTCCTCTCTCTTCTCTTCTCCACTTCAATTTCTCTTTTCTCTCTCTGCTCTCTCTCTTTCTTTTTTCTCACTTGGGATATGTCTCGTTTTTTTTTTTTTTGGGGGGAAGGGGGGAGGTTGGTGTTATTCAATCATGTTGCGGATCTTCAATAATCTTTCATTCTCGTTTGTTTGTTTGGGAAAAAACCCAGTTCTTTTTCACTTGGTCTCATACTCTTTACATGCACATATGACTCCCCATAATACGTTTGTTTTGCATACCTTTTATCTTCCTTTTTTTTTCTCTCGAGTTTACGCATCTGTTGATATCTATTTTCGTTCAGTTTATATCATTCTTACGTATATATCTCTTCGTGTCTATCTATCTAATAGCTGTCTACCTTTCTTTCTTTCTTTCTTTGTTTGTGTGTTTCACTCTTTCACTCTTTCTTTCTTTCTATCCTCCTTTGTTCTGCTCCATCCCTTTCCTTCACATCTTCCCATTCTCCCCCCCCCCCTCTCTCACACACATAAACACTACATCTTTGTTTTAGAAAGAAAAAGTACCATGATATATCACCCTTTTCTCCTCTTTCTTCCTATTTTTTTTTTTTTTGGGTTGGTCAAGTGAATTAAACACTGGATGGATGGATGGATGGATACATTACAGATGATTCAAGTTGTATTAAAAAAGCTGTCGATTTGAGCTGTGTATATATTCTTTTTTTTTGGGTTGTTTCCATTTCATCTTTCTTCTCTTTGTTTTCCTTGTTTCTTTCCTGGGTTTGTTCTGGTATTGCATTGTTGGTATTTGATAAGGTGTACGAGGAAAGTAGGAAATGTGAAATGCAAAAAAAGTGGGGGAAAAATAATATTTTATTTGACCTTTTATGTATGTATGTTTTTTTTTTGGTCTTGGTGATGACTGATAAATTTACGTATGCATGAAATCTTATCAGGTTTTTCTTCAAGGAAAAATGTTTATATATTCCGCGTAATCAGAATGATGGATCATCAAGGCATCTTGCAGATAAAAGCTGAACAACAATCCTGATCTCTATTTGTGCGCCCTGATCTTTCCTGCCAGTATTTAACCAAGCATGTAGGACTTGTGGCGCATTGGTCAATATATATTTTCTATCAGCCCTGCTGCTGTTTCGAAAACGTGATTGAATGTAACCTAAGACATAATTATTACAAGGAATAAATATTTCAGAAACAGGTCATTGTTTGCATGTTCCACTGATTATCGTCTTTATTTCATTCAACTCTTGATTCACAACAAAGAACAAAAAAATGTACTGATTTATTTGCTTGGTTGATTGGTTTTCTCAACTATTTTTTCTTGATCTTAATCAATTTGAAATCCCGAACCAAAAGATTAAACACGGATCCAAAGAATAAAGCCATAGCTATACACATCGACCCGAGAGAGAGAAAAAAAGAGAGAAAGAGATCAGTAAGGAGGAGATGAATTTTGCTGTGTTGAGAGAAGGCTGAGAAAAAAAAAAAAGACGAACCAGTAGAAGTGACGATGATAACATTATAAGGCATCGAGAAATCTGGAGTAGCTAGATCGACCAAAGCGCAAGTAGTCCAATACCTTACACTACTACCTCTATGATCAGAAGCTGAAGAATTAAGACCGCTTTGATGAAGATTGTCATGAGCGAGTTCATCGCCTTGATCTTTATTTTTGGTTTTTGAGGAATACAAGATTAATGCTGCTGGATTCAAGTCGAATCCTCTATTCGCATCAGAAGAATATTCAGTATAGAGTAATAAATCTTTCTCGTATTCGAAATAAATCTTCATCTTTCGTAGTTGAGTGTTCTTTTTCTGCGAATTTCGGTCTTCTGATTGAACATTGGATGGGTGGACCTTCATATCATCGGAGGAAGGGAAATTCAGGGTCATCGTAAAGCTGTATGGGCGTTCTCTTTGTATTGAAGGCTTGATTGTTTTCTTGGTGATCACTCGAGTTGGATATTCTAATCAATTGTCTAGAATCAGCCAACCTATCCTGTACTACGTTTTATTTATTTTTTTCACCATGAAATAAAATATTCCATTGACTCAACTGATTTGAATACCATCAACTTCGACTTTTAAAGTATGTAAATAGATCGTTAACCACCAAGGTAATTCTTCGAAATAAACAATCTCTTGACGTGGATCTCGATCGATTTCTTCTTGTTTCATCTCGATTTCTATTCCCATTATTCCTCTCGTTTGACCATGCCCTGATAATAATCTTTTGACTTTTACCGGGGGTGAGGTATAAATCTCCGCTGTTTTTTTTTTGTTTCAAAAAAGAAAAAGAACTCAGAATTCAATCAACGGAAATGTTTTTTTTTCTTTGGAAGTTGAATCATCCTCACGATATTTAAATCTTTCTTCTGTTGGCCATTTCATTTCGATTTCTAAAGGTAAAACGGCTACAACAAAAAATGGGTTTTATAAGTAAATGATGAGCAAAGGAAAAACGGGTAAAGATAAAAGAGGAAGCAAGAACCTTGAAGGATATTATAAGTATGTTTACCATCAACGGGTAATCCATGAGGATGAGCTTGAGGATGGATCGTCGGTCGTTGAATAACTAGTCCTTCGGTGCCTTTCGTCTCCTCTTCCGTCAGTGATGGTGGTTCTATAATTTCTATGTTACTAGAGCTTGTTAATGGACATTTTTTCGAAATCGATTTCCCAAAAATTGAGTTTAAATCCCAATCTAATTTTCCAATTATCAACGAACCAAAAAAAATCAATTCATATTTTGAATATATCAATAAATGTAACGATTGTTTATTTGTTTATTGAAAACACGGATTGACCTCTTTTAGTAGTTTTACGAACTTGATCAAGCACGGTTTCGATTTCGATTTCCAGTCGTAGATGATTCGAGTTAAGTGAAGAGTGATCAAGATGATTGAAGATTTTAAGACGAATAGAATGCCAATTGGCGTCGAATAATTTATGACTATCGATTAGAGAGGTTAATCCAGCATGAGATCCGCAGGGTAAGAGTTTGAACAGCGGGCTAAGGTTTTCGGTGCAAGGCTGTTCGATGTAGGGGGGAGCCGTGATAAAAGGATTGATGATCATCGCTTCTTTGGGCTTGGATTGAAGAGGATGAGAGGGGGGTCTTTGAGGAGCGTTAATCGGTTCAGAGAGCCACAGAAGATCCCGGCAAGAGTGTTGGTGAGTTCGGTGGCATTTGCTTGAGGTTCTAAGCCGACGGCCAACTCTGAGCCTCTTGGATATCCCTGCCAGTCTTCAAGAATCGGCTCTGTCCATCGATCGTACTCCCATCTGCCTCTGGATAGACTCAGACTCAATTGATGGATCCCATATCGATCGACTAGTTCCAGGATCGAGAGTGGTAGTAGGTCGGTGGTCAATAGCTTGATGTTCTTTGATTTGGGACTCTCTAGTGGTCTGGTTGATTGTTCGGTGCTGGTCAGTTCAAACTTGAAGAGTGTGTGTAGTTTCCCATCCTGTAATGGTCTGATCGTCAATGACTCTTTGAATGAATCGGTTGTTGTTTTTGATTCTGTTGGGTTGATGGGTGTTAGTAGTAGGATGGTGGTAATCAGCAGTTGATGGATGGTCATCGAAGAGTCCTATTCTCTGGGTTCTGGGTTTGCCGCTTGTTGACCGTCGATGGCTGTATGCGGTAATAGAGAGTCGGCAGTCATGACATGGCTTGGACTGATCGCCACGACGTCATCAGTCCCCCAAAGACCCAAAGCCCTCGTTCCAGAGGGCCGCGCGGCGAGAGGGCGCTTGCGGAGGCGCCCTACCGATCCAGGCGCGCATAGGGCTTAGTATCTCCTACTAACTCCTACATACTCTGGACCTGAACAATTCCATATATAAGACAATCTCTGGGTCATATCCACCGTGACGGGATTTAAAACAACTCCCTGGGCCATATCCTAGCGCAATTGTTGCATCTCCCAACCAATCCCTGGCTCATGACCACCCCCGGTTGATGAAATGCCAGTCATGGAACCTCACATGTTGAGATCCTTCCGTCAACAAACCGACCGAGCTTTTCTTAGGCCAAGGCCATGGACTAGCCATGGCATGTCCTTCAACACGCTGTATCGGTTGAGGCACCCAAAATCGAGTCTCAACACATCAAAGGTGCAAGGGCCTCGGAGCTGGAGACCACATTAATGATGTTTCAAAGACCCCAAAGGCCTGATTTGTGAGTTGTGGCCGAGTTGTTCGTGTTGCCCATCCGATCTAGCACACCAATGGAACCTTCCAGTAAATACAGGTCATGGAGAATCTAGCCCGTCGGCGCTTTGGACAATAGCAGATACTCTCCAAGAAATAGATGGTTGAATAGATTTAGAAGTGAATGGTCTTGAAACATAGATGGCCCCATCGCTTCGACTTCAGGTTGATTTGACTTACAATTCAAGTTTGCAACCAGATCCGCTTTTGAACCTCTCTTCCCACTTTCTTCCGCCAGTCTCTGCCTCTTTTTCCTCCTCGCAATAGACCTGATCCCCCAATACTCATACCGATTCACTTCTCACACCTCTTAAACTTACCTAATATGGATAGCTACTGTGAAACTTGTCATCGCCAATTCAGACAACCCGAGGATTATCAGCGGCATTTGCGTGATTCGCCCCGGCATCGCCATCACCACGATGCTCGCGATTTTCGGCCAGCAGAGGCCGGAGTGCGCTGCGTCTTATGCAGACGCATCTTCCAGTCCATGAATGATCTAATACAAGTTAGTCAGATTTTGACTAAATGCCAGATTGCAAAAATTGATTTCCGAACCGTATTGAGGCTCATTTGACTGCACATCCATTCCTATCCTTTTGTAGCATCAATATTCCTGCACCGCTCATGGGACGGAATTTGTGTGTGATCACCCCCAATGCGGTAGAGGGTTTGTCAGCCAGTCGTCTCGCCTGCAACACTTCGAAACACGGACATGTCCATCCGAGGTGTCAGCGCCGGTCTCTAGAGTGACTAGGCGTTGATGGGGTGGCAAGGGTCTTACTATAACTTTCGAGTGAAAGCCAGTAGAACTAGAACCTCACCTCGACGCTAGTAAGCGGAGGGGTTAAGCACCCTTAGTAAGGGGACGTACGCGGTATGAGCGTCGCGTCGCCGGGCTTAGAGCTAAGTAGTCTCTCTTCTAGGCTACTGTAGTGACTTTACAGTAGTCTAGGAAGGTTGGTACGGAATAGAAGATAAAGGGGAAGGTTTTTTTAGAAGGTTATAGTAGTAGATTGTAAACCCCACTCACAGTTTGTATTGTAAGGTGGACGGGTTTGTATGGTAATCTCTGGGGGAAGGAATCCTAGAGGGAAAGCCTTCCCCTTAAGTATTGCAAGGCAGGGTTCAGGCTGCCTGTGAGACCGGGTGAGGCCTGCAGAGGATCATTTATGTATATAATCATAAATGATCAAAATATGCATTTAAATTAAGTTTTAAACCAAAAGTGGAGGGAATGATGTCATTCAAGCTCAAAGGAGAAAGAATGATGTCATCTCTCTAATTACAGAGTATAGAGAGATGATTAAGATTTCAAATTGTATGTATATAAAATATGAATATTAATACAGAGGTGAATACTTAAGTAATTCCGTGGAATTACTTAAAGCATAAAAGTATAAAAAATAAAATAATAAAAATATAAGATTACATAATTGGGATTTGAACCCAAGTGTGTTGGTGAGGCAAAGTCATAACACAGTCCTTAACCAATAAACTACAGTACATGTGTTTGTTGGTTAAGTATAGGTTGTAGACACATGGGCTACAGCCTCAGTGTCTGACATTCGCCCCACCAAAAAAATTACTCTATGAGGAATTTTTTGACCTCTTGGAAGCCCTGAATTGTCTTAACAGAACCTGACAATTCTTAATTTTATCAACCTCTAACCACATATCTTGGTCAGGTTGACAATTCTTAAACCTAACTAAATAAAGTTTACAGTCTTTGCTTTGTTTTCTGACAATCTTCTCACCTAAAATCTTGTAAGGGACTTTGTCTGATACTTCAGTTTCTATAGGAGGAAGGATTGCATCTTGCTCAACTCGCAAAGGATTAGTTGTAGGATCGACATACTTCTTACACAAACTTATAGGAAAAGTGGGATGTCTTTGGCTAAATTGTTCTGTAAGGATTACCTCCACGGCATTCCTTCCATGAAATGCTTTGATAACAAAGGGTCCAATAAAGGCATCTTTCAATTTTCTAGGGCCAGCCAAGTTATTAAAATTTACCGTGGAAATTAAAACTTGTTCACCCACTTGTAAGTCATGGTCTTTATGAGACTTATCCCATCTTTCTTTATTATATTCAACTGCTTTCTTCACGCATGAACTTGCTTTTTCTTCAGCTTTAAACATCATTTGCTGAAAACACTCAGAACTTGGATGTAAGGTAACAGTCTTAGAAAGCAGAAAGTCTTTAGGCATACTAGGGATCCATCCTCTCTCAAGTTCAAAAGGAGCAATTTCAGTTACTGAATGTTTGCTAGAGTTGTAAGCAAATTCTAGTGCGGGCAAGAGGGATACCCAATCATGTGTATAACCATCACTCGTCTTAAAGTCCAAACCATAGGCACAATATCTTCTTATCATGTCTTCCAAAGTTTGAATCATTCTCTCAGCTAACCCATCCGTTTGAGGATGATAAGCAGTTGAAAAAGCTAACTTGGTACCTAGAATTTCAAAAAGATTTTGCCAAAAATCAGAAGTAAATTTTGGATCTCTATCGCTTATAATTATTCTAGGACAACCTACATCACTTACTATGTTGTTCCAAAAAATGAGTGCTATGTCCATAGCACTACTATCTTTGTAACAAGGGAGGAACCTAGCTCTTTTGGAGAATCTGTCACAAACTACTAACACTGCATTGAAATTTTCAGTCCCTGCAGGTGGTAAAGCTGTCACAAAATCCATATTGATTATTTCCCAACGAGTCTTAGGTTCTTCAATAGTTTGTAAAAGGCCAAATCTTTTGCCAGTTGCTTTGTTGGCCTTTTGACACCTCTCACAAGAGTCACAGTACTCAGAGACTTGGTTTTTCCAATCAGGCCACCAAGCTAGGTTTTGGACTCTATTCAAGGTTCTTTCCTTAGAAAAGTGGCCAGAAGTAATACTGTCATGACACTCATTCAAAATAATACTAATGTGGTTAGGATCTAGCAAAACCACTGATGAGTTATGCTCACGTCTGTGATATAGTAACCCATCTAGCATGACAAACCTATCTTCTAAAAAGTGTTTTTTCCAAACACCCTCCAATCCTTCTATAAGACCTTTGTCTGCGTATGGTGACTTAAGTAATTTTTTAAGAATCACCGTATTATTGTTAGAATCATAACTTTTCTCAATCAGTTCCCAGAATGAAGAAGACAAGCCTGATACTGAAATAGCCATAATAGGATTGCTATCAACAAAGTATTCTTTTTCAAAGGCTGGGTTGTTTTTGTCATTAGGCAAAGCCCAATGAGCTAAGCATTCAGACATCCTCATTGGAGATGGCAAAATAGAAGTAACTGGAGTTCCAGTTTCTACTTCCTCAGCGTCATAAGCAGGATTATCAGGATTGTTGGGAAGGGCCCACCTTGAAAGGCCATCTGCATTCTTATGGACAATACCTTCTCTATGAACAATAGTCATAGACCCTCTCCATTCTTGGATTGCAATTTGCCACCTAAGCATGTGTCTGTTGGGTGTCTTCATATTTAACAAAGATCTTAAAGCGTTGCAATCCGTGATCACATCAAACTCACATCCATCAAGATAATAATAAAGCTTATCCAGTGCCCAAACCAAGCAAAGGCATTCTAGCTGAGAAGCTCCATATTTCTTTTCAGATTCTTTGAGTTGCCGTGAGATAAAGCAGATGGGACCTTCCATAGGTTTGTCATCAATTATTTGTACTTGATGTAATGCAGCTCCTATCCCTTCCATACAAGCGTCAACATAAAGTTTAAACCTTTCTTTTGGGTCAGGATGAAACAACAGAGGTGCATTAGTCAAGGCAAATTTAATGGACTCATAAGCTTGTACTCTTTCAGCCGTCATTTCAAAGACTACATTAGGACTACATAATTTGTAAAGACTTGAAGCCATAGCTCCAAAGTCTTTGATGTGCAGTCTGTAGTAACCTGCAAAACCAAGGAACATCTGCATTTCCTTTGTATTTTGGGGTGTAGGCTTGAGTAAGACTGCGGCAACTCTATGTTTATCTATACCTAAGGATAGACCATTAACAATATGACCCAAAGCTTTAAGTTCCTGAAAACCAAACTGGCATTTTGACAAAGATATTTTCATATTCATCTTGATAATTTTTTGAAGAATAATTTCCAAGCGTAACAAATGATCTTCCCAGTTATCTGAAAAAATTATAATGTCATCTATGTATATAATAAGCCAGAGTTGATTCAACTCGTGTGAAAATTCAGTGTCCATCATACGCTGAAAATGTGAAGGGGCATTTTTGATACCAAAAGGCATCCTAAGGTACTCAAAAATACCTAAGTGACAGACAATCCTGAGGAATTGTCTACTGTCTTTGTGAATCACATTTTGATGAAAGCCTTTAAGGACATCCATGCACGTAATGTATTTAGCTTTATGCAATTTAGTTAAAGACTCCATAATTTTGGGC